ACTCACCCTATCCTATGTAAGGGAGTGGTAATCACGATGACGTTGCGTCCGAAAGTGAGGAGTCAGGGCGTAGTGGAGGTGTTCAGGATCAAGAGAATGGGAGTTTGATCCCTAGTCCCATTCTGATCCTGACGTTTAATACGTTTAATATCCTCTCCCAGAGAGGATTAGTTGTGGGTTTTATTATCTTTACGTGCGGCAGTATTGGGCCAAACCCCCTGCGTTTCTTCATGTGTCAGAGGTTCGGCTATACCCAACACCGGTGTATGGCCCTAAGCCCTGTTTGCGCAAAGTGCGGCAAATCCACAAACGAAAGTGATCCCTGTGCCTCGCCACTTCGCTGTGTTAACTGTGAAGGAGACCATGCGGCCAACTCGAACAGGTGCCCTACATATCTGTGGGAGAGAGAGATCCAAAAGATCGAAGATCAGAGAATGTATCTTTTCCTGAGGCGAATCGTCGATACTTAGTGAAGAGCCCTGTAGATCTCGGGCGTTCATTTTCTGGTACTCTGGCCAAGACGGCAAAAGCAACAGCGAGTTGGACTTCACCTGCTACTCCCCCAGTTGCTCATTTCCGTTGCCAGGTGCCACCAGCGGACGTGCCTGAGGAGACATCGCCTCTGCAAGGTGGGAAGATAATTCCCTCAATTCCCTCCGAATACCAATTATCCAAAAAAAGCGCACAGGAGAAGTCGCACCTAGAATCCACTTCTTAGCCCCATATCTCGGCCTTCTGGCCCAGAAACTTAAAAAAGATCGTTCCTCCAAACTCCGACCACCCACCCCGACTCCTGAGACTCGCTCTGAGCGATCTCTTAGCCCGTCGAGCAGTGCTGAGGAGGAATCTGCCTCGGAAGAGACCAGCCGAGGTGGACAGTCGCCCTTTCAGGCAACAGGCATAAACGGAAGGGAAGAAAAATCTCCTTAGAAGCAAAGCAGCTTAACATCTAAAAGTTATGGCTCTCCTCTCGTGGAACCTCAATGGATTTCGCACGCGTTTACGCGAATTAAAGCTGATGTCTCTGTATAGACCCGTTGTTATCTGCCTGCAGGTAACACATCTTCCTGAGTATTCTCTCTCGTGGCTTTTGTTGCCACAGGCAAGACATTGATGAAGGCCTCCGTACACATGGCAAAGTCGTTACATTTGTCACAGATCTCCTGGTGTCCAAAGATATGAACGTACGAACCACTCTTCAGACATCGTGCGTTCGTGTGAATTTCCGCACTATATCGATAACGATTTGCAACGTCTATATTCCGCATGTAGAAGCCGTGTCGCAAGAGGAACTTGAAGATATGTTAGATATCTAGTTGCCCGCCCCTTTACGTATTGTGAGGGACTTTAATGCCCACAATCCCGCCTGGGATGACACTAGGACCTGCGCGAGAGGTAATATACTTGAAAATATTGTCAACCAGAACTTAACTCTTCTTAATACTGGCGAAAGCACACATTGTTTCGTGGCTTCAAACACTTTCTCGTCCGTCGATCTGGCGCTCTGTAGTCCATCTCTCTACCATCTTTGAGTGGACTGTCCTTTGCGACCTTCATGGCAGTGACTACTTCCCCGTATCAGAAACCTGCCCAAACGATATCAATGCTATAGTTGCCGATTTTACGGATGCCGTTCTTCATGCGGCCTCAATTGCCATCCGAAGTCATCGGGTCACTCATGACATCCTCCCGTGCCATGGTGGAATGCCGACTGTGCCAACGCGAACCGTGATCGGAAACGGGCATTGACAAAACGTAGTAGGTTTCCAACCATAGATAATCTAATCATTTATAAAAGGTCACGAGCTAGATCTAGATTGACTATACGGGAAAGTAAGGCCGCGTCCTGGAGAGCTTATATTTCATCACTCTCTTGCCATACGCTCCCTTAAGTAGTGTGGCGAAAGGTTCGACAGATCGGTGGAAGACTTCTTCGCCGTCTGTCTCAGGTAAATGGAAATCATCTCACCTCACCAGATGATATAGCTGAAGAATTTGCCTCTCACTACGAGCATATCTCCAGCTCCGTTCACGACTGTCCTAGCTTTCTGAAGACCAAAAGAATGGAGAACTGCAGACAATTTTTCTCGAGTCGCGTAGAGGAAGATGATAATGCTCCTTTCTCCCAACATGAATTTTCCTTTGCCCACGCTTGTGCAAAAGATTCTGCTCCAGGACCAGACCAGATACATAATTAAATGCTTAATCACATAGCGGAAAATGTTCGTTCTTTTCTCCTCGCATTTTCAACTTGATTTGGGATCAACATTCCTTACCAAGGATTTGGCGTGAAGCCATTGTTATTCCAACCCCTAAAGAAGGTAAGGACAGAACAATCTTTTCAAATTACCGCCTACTCTCGCTCACAAGTTGTGAGTGCAAGCTTTTAGAACCAATAGTAAACGTCTGGTATGGCTTCTGGAGCAAAGGAATCTATTTACACCTTTTCAGTGTGGTTTGAGGAAGCACATGCCAACCATGGACCACTTAGTCTCCCTTGCCACTCAGATCCCCACTTCTTTTGTGCTACGACAACAACTGGTAGCAATGTTTTTCGACATTGAGAAAGCGTGTGAAATCACCTGGAGGTAGGGCTTTCTTCGCGCCTTGCATTCTTGAGGCCTTAGGGGACGGCTCCTTTCGTTTCTAGTAGATTTTCCTTCGTCGAGATCTTTCCGCGTCCGCCTTGGTGAAACGTTATCCTCAAGTCACCAGTTAGAAAACGGTATTCCCCAGGGATCAATTCTGAGTGTCACTCTGTTTGCTATTGCTACCAATAGTATCGCATCAGTAATTCGAGAGCCTGTGAAAGCATCGCTCTTCGTTGATGACTGGCATATTCTGCTCCTCAAAGAGCATGCAAGTTATTGAGAGGCTTGTCCTCAACAAATTGCAATAATAGAGCGATAAAACTGGATTCAAGTTCTCCACATCGAAATCCAGTTGCATGCACTTCTGTAGAATATATCACCTCCATAATCATCCTGATCCTTTTTTCGGGGGGGGGGGTGTCATCAACTTCCCTTCGTCGAATCTGCCCCTTTCCTTGGCCTGACATTTGACAAGAGTTTAACATGGCGGAAGCACATTCAAAACTTGAAGAGCTCTGTATATCATTGAACCTCCTTCGCACCCTTACTGGTAGATCATGGGGCGCAGACCGAGTATATCTTTTGCGCCTATATAGGACTATCGTCTGTCCCATTTTAGATTGTGGGTGTATGTATTATTTATGGGTCAGCATCTCCATCGACCCTCCGGTCAATGTATACCATACACAATGCCGTTATTTGGATCAGCACAATTGTCTACCGCACGAGTAGCATTGAATGCGTCTTGGCCGAGGCTGGTGAGACATCCCTGAGCCGAAGGCGAGATATTGTAATCGGCTCCTATGGTGCGAAAGTATCAGCTATAAATACTCCTTCGCGCCAATCAGTTCTTCACCCAAGCCACAGGACATCGTACGAACTCAGACCATCGTTACCCCATCCTCCGGGTATCCGTCTTTACACGCTCTTGCAGAAACTCGTTATAAAACTCCCTAACCCTGTGATCCCCCCCCCCCAAATCTTGTTCCCCTTGGAAGCTTCTCCGGACTAAAATAGACCTGTGATTATCACACTTCCCGTAATCCTCAACTCCTCTTAGTACATTTCTGGCGGAATTCCAGGAGGCAAAATCCATATATCCCGGCTGTAACTTCGTGTACACTGATGGTTCCTCCCAGAATGGAAATGTAGGGCATGCCTTCTACTGCCACTGTGCCATGCAGAGTTTTCGACTAGACTCTTCATGCACACTGCAGAAATATATGCACTCTTGGAGGCACTGAAGTTCGCTGTATCGATGACATTAAAAGAACCTGTGATCTGCAGTGATTCAAAAACCTCGCTCGAATCTATCTTCTGCTTCTCCTCTTGTGACCCTCTGACCATAATCATTCAACACCAAATCCATAATTTACTGATTCATCTTCTTTTCTTTCTTTCTTTTTTTTTATTTTTTATTTATTTATTTATTTATTTATTTTGATCCCTGGTCTCGTTGGGATAATATGGATTGAAATTGCTGACCAGGCAGCAAAGCTTTCCACAAAGAAAACTGAGGTAGACATCCTCACTGTCCCAACAAACGATACCAAGCTGTTTATCAAATGTTTTCTCAGTGCATGGCAGAGTGGCAGATCTCAGATTTTAAACTCACAAGAATCAAGGATTCCATAAAGCTTTGGTCTTCTTCATGTCGTGGGTCAAGGCGCGAGGAGATAACTCTACATGCCTTTGGTTTGGTCGCTTCCATTTCTCCTACAGCCATCTTTTCCACAGTGACCCACCCCCTACTTGCGATAGTGTTGAGACGGATCTTACCTTTGTGCATGTTCTCCTGTCCTGTTCTAAAGTAAGAGATAGCCGGCGAAACTCTCTACACAGGTACTTGGAAATGACTCTTCTCTCTGCTCTCTGCAAGCTTTTTAGCTTCTTATGAGAGTCTGACATTTACAGATTATCTGGGAGAAGGGGATCATGCCAATTACTTGGCGTATAATTGGAGATTTTAAAGTGATTATTTGGCTGTTTTCTGCCAACCACTTTTTTAAATAATTGAACACGTTTATTTTCAGTTTTACTTACATTTTACCTTGCATTAAAAAATCTGGCACTGCTACAGTATGTATTGCTCTTTAAAAAAATTGGCAGGGGTGCCAATTACCTTGGCTGTTGAAGTGCCCTTAAACCTTAACCATCATCATCATCGTCATCATCATCCAGTTTCCAGCAGGGTTGTAATATAGCATAGTCATTACTAATAGTGTGAGAAAATATGTTCTATTGTAGCACCACTAATTAGAATAAAAAAATACTGAGAAATCTTCCTTTTTCTTAAAAAAAAATATATATATTAACACAACAGAATTATTATATTAAAAAAAGTACAAAAAATAAAAATAATATACTTTTAGAATTAAAATTAGTAAATTTTTCTCTTTAATTTTCCAGCTCCATGCACAAAATTGGGTATATTTAAATAGGCAGTGGAAAAGGTAAAAACATATTCATAACTCATATTTTTTAATCAATTATTTTAATTATTCATAATAATTCATAATTGTTGGGTGTCTCTGTATTAATAAAATGTAAAAAAATTAAATTTAAAATCAATACTTTTTGATTCCTTGAAACTATAGTTTTTCCTATTTTGTCCTTCAGTTCTGTTGCTGGCGAGGACTACCAATATCTGCAAAGAAGCAAAGTACCCACATTTCATTTCCAGCCTTCACTGCCCAGACTTCCTATTCCAGCTCTTGAGAAGACATGTGAACGATACCTAGCTGCTCAGCAAGCTTTGCTTCCTGAATCTTCATTTGAAAAGACAAAGAAAATTGTTACAGAATTTGAAAAAAATGAAGGGAAAAAACTTCATGAGAAGCTGATAAATAAGGACAAGCAAAATAAACACACAAGCTACATAACAAAACCATGGTTTGACATGTATTTGAGAGACCGTATACCTCTTCCAATAAATTATAATCCTTCTATAGCCTTTGTGAACAATCCTGAGAAACATTACAATGATCAAGTTCTGAGAGCCAGCAACATGTTAATATCTTCTTTACGGTGAGTAATCAGGTTAATCAGGAGTTTTAAGATAACTTAGTTGACATTCCTGTTGTCTTTCATGTTATAAATGTTAGTTGAGCCTATACTATTGTACCTCCTGAAAATCTTGAAACGTCGACAAAATGAAGACTTTTTTCAAGCCTTTTTGCCTACCTATTTTATATAAAATAAATTGCCAATCTCTACTCATTAATATAAAATTTCCCACTTCATGTTCATTAGCGGAAAGTGATCATTTTCAACCTCTTCACATAACCAGAAAATTGTAACATTTATTCTAAGACACACAGTAAAACTGACAAAAAATTGCTATAGAGGCATTGCATGTATGCATGTATTAAAAAAAATGTTTATTATGATTTGTGACAGCATTAATAAGAGGGATGTGCTGTGCTTGTTTATTTTTCTTCATGTCTTCAAACCTGGGTACTACGTTGGAAATTGTCTGGTAAACTAGTCGCTCACTGTGACCAGATCTTGGAATACATTTTCCATTCTTCCTCCTTGGTCTCATATTGGTTCTTTGAGGCCAAATTTTATCTCGTATGATCCCTGATAAAACCCTCTGTCATCAACTTATGGCATAGTACGTGAATCTCTCCACTTGTAAATTTTTAATTTCTGATAATAATATTAGAATTTGCTTCAAATGTGTTGTGGCATCCCTGGAAAATGATTGCTGTGCCATAGGGTGCCACAGCATACAGTTTGAGAACCACTGATTTAAACAATTACTTCGCTGTGGATTGGTGGTTACTCTTGCTGTGAGTGCATTAGGGATTCTCAAAACGTTTTGACTCAGCACACTTCTTTCTTGGGAGACCACACGTCTAAAAGAAACAAACCTGTCTGCATTGGGACTTCAAAAGCTGAGGAGCAATCCCTTCCCTTGAAATATTGTGCAAAAGTAAACTACAGTTTCCAATTATATTACTATAATATTACTATAAAGTATAATTATTGACTGAAAACTTTTAATTGGTCAGTTTGTTATACAGTAGTACAATCTTGGGCTGAATATGAATAAATAATTACTAGAATATTTAATACATTATGCCTGTTTTATGGTATTTTATTTCCTTGTTAAATTATTTTTGTGGCACACTCTTTGAGAACCACTGATGTATATTCTTCATAATTTGGTCTCAGAATTGCATATTTTAAAATATTTGTGGTATTAATATCAAGGTTTTGTTTACAGATTTATGAAATCACTTAGAGCTGAAATTCTAGATCCAGAAGTATATCATTTGAACCCTAAAAAAAGTGATACAGAATTGTTTAAAACTATTACACGTTTATTGCCATCATCTGTATCATGGTATGGAGCCTATCTTTTTAAGGTATGTATTTACTTCTGTTACAAAAGTCAATAATATTAGATATTACAACTTAAAATATAGTCCATTGGTTGTAGATGAAATTGTTAAAGATAGCTAATTTGTTTCCAGGCATTTCCATTAGATATGTCACAATACAACAGTCTCTTCAATGCCTCAAGAATTCCAGAAATTGGGAAAGATAGATTGTATCAAGATGTAAATGCAAAACATGTTTTAGTGATGAGAAATGGTCATTTTTATATTTTTGATGTCATTGATAAGAATGGTAATTATTTAATTAATTGAATTTTTTTCCTCTTCTGATGAGTATTTAAGTGGATTTTATCAGCCAAACAAAGTGTTTTATTATTCTAAATTACATGTCATTTTGTATTCCATTGGGTACCAGTTTCTTCCATATCTTCATTGGATGTTAAGAAAGCAAGGTTATAGTCTCAGTCCTTTGGTGGCTTCAAAAGATTCTGTGTCAGTCCCATCATTCATTTTAATCTTTATTCTTGAATCTGAATAGAGGCTTTGAATTTCTACAATTGAGGATTTTTCTTTTGATTCATGGTTTCCCATAATTTTGTTCTGTTGTATGTTGTTGTATGTCTTTTAAAAATCAACAAACTAAGAAAATTGGTAAATTCATTAAATGGTTTTATTACATTAAATCATTTCATAAAATCATTTTGTTTCTATTTTTTGCATGATTTCATGTTCCATGTCTATCTTTTTCTTCACTTCTACTGCAGCCTCTTCTTTATTCCAAAGCATTTTGTTGTATTTAACTTGTTTTCAATCTGGTGTTATGTTAAGTCGTATATTATCATTTTGTGTCTACTCTAAGCGTTCTTAGAGCCTTGAAACTGATCCTTTGCAGTCCAAAGGTGTCTCTTTCTAGAGATCTGATGTATTTCTCACAATCTTTTGTTTTGATTTTTTGGGCGAGTTAGTAGTGCCCTAGTAGTGTGTGTTTTTTTTTTTTTCCCCATAAGCTTTCCTTTGCTGTTTCTACCATCGCCTGCTTAGTTTGCCATTGTTCTATAATTTCTCTTTTAATGAAAGCGCTTCTCTTTTGATAAAATAATTAACATTGTTTTAATCAGTTTTCTTAAAACGTTTTGATTTTTAGTTATCATGTATAAATATTGTAGGGTGTTATCAGAAGATCTTTTGTAATCAATCCAGACCTAAATCATGGGACATTAATGCTTGCTATTTAAATATTATAATATAATAGTGGAATTGTTTGACAAGTTCTTCTTTTAAAAAAATTATTTTCTACTTTTAGTGTTATAGTATCTAGTAGAGGCTTTGAACTTGTTTAATTTCACCTGAAATTTTAAAATGGTTTACCCTTGTTTCTATGACTGGGTTGTTTTCCAGTAAAAATAAATTTTAAACTATTTGAGTCTAATAGAATGTAGAAAGTCTTTATTTTTTTCCCCTTTATGACCTAGTTGAACCTTTATTACCTAGTTGAGGCCACTGAAATTTTTTAACCAATAATTTGCATTAGGTTATTTATAAATTGTTTAACTTTAATTCTTGTTTTATGTTATTGAAATTGCCCTTTTATATTAACAGGAAATATTGTTCCACCAACTGATATCCTTGCCTGCATGAAGTACATTGCAGCAGATACTACACCACCAGCTCAACATCCAGTTGGAGTTCTAACTACAAGTAATAGAGATGTATGGGCAAAAAATCGTAAAAAATTGGAAGCTATTGGAAATTCAGATGTTTTGAAAGCAATTGACAGCAGTGTTTTTAATATATCACTTGATGGTGTTGCCATTAATGAAGACAGAGACTTACTGGTACATCATATTCTTCATGCTGATGGCCATAATAGGTGCTGTTTATTCTCGATAATACTTTTTTCGTATCTCGTAATGATGTAGCTTTATTATTTTGTAGTTTTTACAATAAGGCCTGTACAGAAAATGTGACAAAATGATTTTATATTTTCCCAGATGGTTTGATAAATCGTTTTCTTTGTTATTTACCCAAGATGGTTATGCAGCTGTAAACTTTGAGCATTCGTGGGGTGATGGTGTTGCTGTATTACGTTATTTCAATGACATTTTTAATGACAGCTCAAAGAATCCTCGTCTTCATCCTGATTCACAGCCATCAAATATTGATCCAAGCAAATGTGTTAGAAGACTGGGTAAGTATTGAATTGCAGACATACAGATTAAACAATCTTAATTAAAAAATAATGTTGTGATTTACAAATTTTAATATGAAATTAGATTTTTTTGTAATAAAACTTCTATTATGTTAGTAACACTTCTTATATGTGTGATTGAGAAATTGGTATACATGTTGTAGATACATTACAGACAAACGAATTATTATTTTTCACTACGAGTTGATATTATTAACTTAAATAAATAAATCACCTGAGTAATATATGCTTGTTGCAACAATATATGCTTGTTGCAAATGCAATTTGAAATAATGAATGGCTTCACTTATAACTGATCATATTTTATTTAGTATCTGCCTAATGGATTTATATTCTCTCAAATAAATAAATAAATAAATAAATAAATAATATTAATAAATATAAATAAATAAATGAAGATGAGGTAGATCTAAAGAAAGGTTGAATGGATAGATAAATCAACAATGCATTAGCAAATATAGAATGTTAAGATGTACAGTTTCAGCCTTTTTGTAAATTCACTCTACTCAATACATAACTCATTCATAATTTCATTTCATTTTTTGTCTAATTCTAACTTGTAGACCCTCTTTTGGTACATTAGAAATGTAATCAATTTTATGAAACTTGTGCATAATTTCTTTAATACTTGTGAATTAATTGCTTTTTGAAAATTTGATACTTAATTTAATTGGTTTTCTAATGGATTCTTTAGATTTCAAGTTGGACAGTGAAGCCGAGAATATTATTAAAGAAGCAAATGCAGAGTATGAAAAGTTTTACAAATCATTAAATGTTGATATCATGGAATTCCTTACATTTGGCAGAAATCTTTGTAAAAAACACAAAATCAGCCCAGACAGTGTTATGCAGTTGGGATTTCAGGTAAAAAGCTTTTTTCTTTTCTCTTTTCTATTTTTACTGGTATCCATATTTTTGTGTTTGGAATTGGCATGATATTTAGCAATAATTTATTGGCATTAGCATTGTTTGCATTTATTGTCATTGGCACTGGTTTTGTTGTTTCCTCCTTGGATTCCTTATAAATATTATAATTAACCAGAAGAGTGTGAAAATATAAAAACAATGAGTAAATTGTAATTTATGAAAATGCGTGTTTTATTTTAACATCCCCAATTAAAGTGTATAACAGATTTGTACAAGATGTATATGATTGTTGTTCATTCCATGGTGATGACTGATAGAGTGACTATAAAGAATGGCAGCACCAATATCAGTGGGAATACTTTGATTTGTATTTGACCTAATTTAAAAACTGTTACTCAAGATGATGTTTGAAATTTTGGGTTTGTTAGAAGGGTATTATCTGTAATTCAAATTTTGATGAAACATAAAAATGTGACTAAAGGGTTTGTTTATTTAATTATTTTCAGCTAGCATATTACAAACAGAATGGTTCATATGCTGCTACATATGAATCGTGCAGTACTGCAGCTTTTAAGCATGGAAGGACTGAAACTATTCGGCCATGCACTTTAGCAACAAAGGTGTGTTTCCTTTTATCATCAGTGAATGTTTGTATGTTTGATTGCCGATAGCTTCTCTTCATACTCATATATCACTACTCTACTGTGAGGAAATCTACAGAATAAATAACATTCTCTTGTCAAAGAAACTGTTATTATGTTACCATTTAAAACTAGTAGTTACAACAACATGTACTATTTTGTGATATTGCTAATAGCTATGTAATATAATATGACTATTGAATGTGTGAAAAACAGAATGTTATAAGTGACATTTTATAGATTCTGAGAAATCTGTTTAATTAAATTTAATTTTAATAGCACTGTTAAGTCATGGTGTTTTGTTTCATCATTAAAACCATGGCATTTCAATTTTTCATTAAAACCATGAAAATACATTGCCACTGAAACATAGCCTAAAATAAACACATTTTTCTCTGAATTTATAAAATGTCACTTATATCATTCTGGTTTTCATCCATTCAATGTCTGCTTTTAATCCATTCAATGTCTCTTATAACCTTCCACCTTTTGAAAAATTCTTAAACAAATGAAGCATGAAAAATACATATATTTTTAAATTCAAGCGTTTAAACGAAAACAACATTTCGCTATTGAAATCACTATATCAATGATGCATATTTTAGCCATAAAAAATTATTAGTTTATAATAACGCAAACGAACTGCATCATCATTATCATCTTCTGTTATCAGTGAGGAGTTACAACTGTGTTGCAACATGCAACAATGACTGCTAATTTGTTTTGAATGCAACGTTTTGCAAATTAGTGTTGTTGACGCCCCTGGCAAGAAAATGAAAAAGGATACAAAAAATATAATGAAATATAATATTGTTATATACATCAAAACTACTCATTTTTTTGTGCATTACTCTTTATTTCCACATATTATTATGCAAAGGGAAATTATCTATTCATTTTTACATTGATGCTTGAGTTTCCTTTCCACTGTTCTGTGATCCATATGTGGTTCACAAATCATAACACTCAATTGTTTTACTACGTTTGTGAACCACATGTAGGTGGCATGCAGAGATATTTTAATGTTTTCTTAGGGGCAGGGAACGTGTTAATGTAACCTATTTCTTGATATTTAATCTTGTCATGTACACTTTTGTCATTTCATGTACAAATGTTAAATCAGTGGAATAATAAATCATTTCACATACAAATTTTGTATTGCTTTGATGTAAAATAATTCTTACAAAATGTTTATCATTAGTTTCGCTCCATAGTCAGAGAAATTTTACTCAGATAATTAATTTAATTGTATTAATTAAATATTTAAATATGATGTTCAAGCTATTTAAAAATATCTTGTTGACAACAATTTCATTGCATTTTAAAATTTTGATCTTTTATGAGTTTATGGGCCACATCAAATAATTTCTAATTTCCAGGCATTTTGTGAAGCTGTGACTCGCCGAAACAAGCCCAGTAATGCAGAAATGCGTGAATTAATTAACAATTGTTCCAAAGTTCATGGAGAGTTGACAAAAGAAGCAGCAATGGGTAAGTTACACATTTTAACGATTAATATTATTTTTGTGAAAGAAAACCTTTCCAGAAAGAAAATAAAAACAAATTGTTGTGCACTTTTTAAATTAATAATTTACTTCAAGTTTCCTTCAAAATAGAGAAAATTTTTCCCCTAAAGGTAAAAAATTGTTCTCTTTAAACTGTTGAGACTACTTGTTTATTGAAAACAGCTGGCAGCTGCAAAATGTCACACGTGTATCATATGGCTATATGGATTGGATCCCTGCATATAAATTAAACCTCAAAAAATTTCTAACTACCATGTTGGAGCATAATTAATTCTCATATTGTGAGATCACAATTCATTCTCAAAATTTGGTCTGAGGGGGAGACATTTCATTAAAATAAATAACATTTTCTTTCTGTTTGTGTGTGTAAATGCAAGCAGGCAGGCTAACTGTTATTCTTTAAATTATATATTAAAGAAAAACCGTTTGAAACTTTTCTTTTCTTTTTAAAAGGAGTAAGATATTATAACATTTCATTTGTTTAGTTAACTTTGATGCGCTAATCGATGTTAACAAAACTTTGATGCTTTTATTCTTTCTGAAGGAAAAGGTGCCTATTCATTCTATTAAAAATTAATATATTAATCATTTTCTTGTGGGGGAGAAATTCTGCTATTTCCATGAATTTAGTTTACAAGGAAATCATCCTTACTTTTTTAAAGAGTTATTGATTTTTAGAGAAGTAAGTCCTTAAAGCTGTTTAGTTTAATTGTTTAAAATTTATGATATTTTAATTTTAAAAATATTATTTTCTTCTTGTGAGTGGATTGAGATGAAATTCTTTCATTTTTTACCCTAAATTATAATAAAGGTGACATTTCAATCTTTCAAGGATCAGTTTTCCGGTCAAAAACTAATCTATTGCCATTCGTTTTGGATAAATTTAGGGTGTTGTAATTTCTTAAATTCGGTCAATTTTATGAAGTTTTAGGTGGGCTGTTTTTGTTTTTGCATTTAGTTTGAGTTATGCATTATAGTTGTACTATTATGATCTGCTTTTCATTTTGCTTTTGTGGTTTTCTATGATTTTTTTTATTTTTTAATGCTGTAGATATTTTAGACGTTGTGAGTCAGTTTTGGAAGAAAATAAATATTATATTCTGTGCAGATTGTACACTTTTCTTTAGATAACTAAATTTTTATTCAAATGGAAAGTTGTGAGAAGAGAAAAAGTGAGTGGTTGGCAAGTATATCTTTTCATTGTAACTTGTTTTATTTTTAATAGAAATCGGTTCCGTTTTCCCTCTTCCAAGAGCAAGCAAGGTTGCCAATTTAATAAATAATCGAATGGTGTACGTTGAAAATACAGGTAGAATTATCAAGATTTTTTCTTCTGAAAGTCTGAAGTGTTATTCTGATATTTCAGGTCAGGGTTTTGATCGACATTTATTTGGACTGCGTCTTATGGCCCAGGAAGAAGGAATGAAGCCTCAGATATTTGAGGATCCTGCATATGCAACTATTAACCACAATGTGTTGTCAACATCAACATTATTCTCCAATGCAGTTTATGCTGGTGCTTTTGGACCAGTTGTGAAAGATGGCTATGGAGTAGGGTGAGCCGTTTGTTTTCTTTTTGCATCACTAATGGAAGACATTATTTCTGTTTCTTATTTGGCCATTGTTTTGAACATAATTGTGAAATTATAAATATGAAAAATGAAGGTAAGGCTTTAATATTACTATTTTCTTTGTATTAGAATCTTATAAAAAGTGCCCTATTAAGAATAACATAAAGGACTCTCCTAGGAAACTGAGTGTTGCAATGCGAGAAGAATTTACAATATATTTACATTTATTTATATATTTATTTATTATTTATTTTATTTCAATTGTGTTTGATTAAAATTCGTATTTGAAGCAACAGAGCAAAATCTGTATTTCCTCCTGTAATTTCCTGAACATAAGAAGACCGCTTATAGGTTCTACTGGCTCGTTAGGTTTTCAGGTGTGTCTTTTGTCTGGTAAATGAGTTTCCTGTCATGTGCAAGGAGGTGGATGGGTAGGGCTTCAGCCACCATCAGTACTGCTGGTTTGGAAACGGTTCTTCAGGAGCATGCATCTCTTGGTGCTCCTTTCCTCTGTACATCTCTCATTCGTCATCTCTGATTATCCTTTGTGGTACATGTGATCATATCTCTGATTTGTACAAGATATAGTGAGTAGATACAGAGATAAGTAGTTGCCATTTGCTAGGGTGACCTTATGTCACATTTTGAACAGGACAATCCTGTTAGGTATGTTCCATCTCTTTACGATTTTGCTCATTTTATTGAAATATTTTTGAATTTATCATAATCATTAATTAATTAAGACAGCTCACTTTGAATTCTACTTAAATTTTCATGGATTATCTGTGGAAAATACATTCCACAGGAACCAGGAGTTCAGTGGGACAAATAGATCTACAAATATATACACCACACTTAAATTAAAGAAAATTCAACAAACAAAATATAAACATATAAGAAGACCTGCTGGTTAATCAATCTCGATTACATCGCTCTTGAATATTCTGCGGGGGTCACGGCAGTATTAGAAGACCACTCTTTGATGTTCCGATGGGAAGGATCGAGCTGTGAAGGCTGCACTTGTGTGATGACTGTAACCTTCTCGGCAGCCGAGTGACGCTGGACGAATGGGTTGTGGCCCTTGAGGACAGCTTCCGCAGGCGAGACTGGTCGGGCGACAGCTCTGGATAGTACGCAACTGTTGACGGAGGTGCGCCACCTCGGTGCACAGAGAGTGGTGCAAAGCTTGTGCACTGGGGCGGTGACTGTCAGCTCTGCTCCTGTCCCAGAGTTATATAGCCAAGTGGCAGATAAAGGAAAGAGCTATGCCTTTTTGAGTGTCCCTCCCCACCCATAGGAAGCATGTAATCATGAAGGCTAACCTACTGGTGCCGGGATGCTGCAGATACAATAGAGAAAAAAATGAAAATAGTATATATTTGAAATGAAATATAATGTACTAGAAGCTGAAATAATGTAGTACATTCAGAAAAAAACTATCTTCATCTTTCTTATCCAAGTGCTGTATTAAATTGATTACTTTCTACAACATAATAAGAAAAGGTTTTGACAGCTTCCTCTTGAGCGAAATTTTTATCGATGAAATGATATTCCCAGTATTCTCAGATTCAGAGAAATTGACACATTCATGCTCAGAACTATGTTTGCCTAGAGAAGAGCACTTCAGTCCGTTTTCTGCAGCTACATACCTCAGCACATCATTTGATTATATGAATAAGGGTTCTTAAGGTGCATTTTGTTTTATTTTAATCGGACATGCATGTACTAGATGTCCAGCCCCAATCCTCAGGAATATTTGGTCATGCCAAACTTGACTGATGGTAGGCGTGAAATCCATTTTATATGGCTGCATCATGTGTATGTGTATGTTTATTTCTGGCAGTGTAAATCTTGTTTTTTAGGAGAGAAAACTTGTCTTATATTCAGAGCAAAAAATGGTTTATCTCTATCTATATTTTGTATAATCATATACATTTACAAATAAATAATTCTTGTGATTAAAATAGTCAATTATGTCATTAAATCTATGATTGCGGGGTAAAAGTTCACAAGTCCTTAAATAAACCTCTCTGCTTAAGAACATATTTTCCCCTCCCTTTCTTGAGGGAATGAGGGATTATAATTTGATTTTGCCGTTACATGATTTGAGAGGAAAGTCAATTTTCCATTATTAGTATCATGCATTTGTTTCTATATATTGTACACTACATTTTTTAACATCCAAAGGATGTGTTCATATTCTTTACAACCATATAAAAGTGAATTGCACAGAATGTTGGATTTAGTCACTAAATTGGTTATGTAATTTATCTAATCTCTCAGATAACAATAGCGCAAATCTGATAACATTTTTATTAAATTTCTCTTTTGTGCTCTCCTACTATTTTGATTTTGTAGTATTACTGAAAATTTTCCATAATCCAAAAAAGGTAAAAATTATTTAGGAATTTTTTAAATGCAGCAGCCTCACTCATTTTCCTTGATTGCAGTTACAGCATATTTGATGAACGACTGGGAGCAATAGTGACTACATACCCACCAAATCGCAATGGTGCTGATTTTGGCAAGTGTCTTAGATCTGCATTTGAAGATATTCATGGAGTCCTTGAAGGATCTAAATCATGATTAATGAATTACTGCTGAAATAGTGTTTCTCACAGGAACACAGAAGTGATCTTGTTTAAATGAAAGGAATTGAGGTAATTTGTATTCACATGTATATGATAATGTGTAGTAAACAATAAGTTATTGCTGTGGTATTTATTGAACTTGAAGTTTCCTTTAATTCAATAATTATGAATCATTCCTATTATTGAAATATGAGAATAACAAAATAACATATTACCAGAAATTAAAAACTGATTAATCAGTTTAAATAAAAGGTAAATCTAAATAAAAGCACATACAAAGCTTGTAAATTAAAGCACATATGTTTAAAGGCAAAAAACGTGGAATTCTGTGATAGGTTATTTTGATTGTGTAATCCCTTAACTGTTTTAAATGTAGGTTGGAAACTTTATCAGAACAGTAGAATCTTATTAACTCAACTGTCCATGCAATTCCAAGACTATGGTTGGTGATGGACTGGCATGGCTGAGACCAGGCCAGTGGCTGGGGCATAAGCCAGTGCACAGGCATTTCACAATATTTAGAGCAGCAGAGCTCATCTTCAATGGAGAAAATTTTCCTCCATTGCCTTTGTGATGAGGCAGCCAGATGTCAAAATCAAAGCAAAAAATATACACATTCAAGAGATTTTTCTGTTAGTTTTTGTTTAATCCTTTGAGTTCATCAGTTTTAGTTTATTATTTTTTGTATGGAACTGTATTGTCAATGGTAGATATTTTAATTTGGTTAGTTTTGAACACTCATGTTGTATTATTACATTGAACAATCAAGCTGTACATATAACCATTGCCTCCTATACATTTCTGTCTATTAAATTAGTCATGTGTTTTGCATGACTCAGCAACATTGAAACTCGACATCTCCAAGAGTCAAAATTGTGTTGAATTAACAAGGTTCTACTGTACAATGAAACATTTCAGAACAAAATGTCAAGAGTCAAAAATCTTATATACAGAGATTGTAATACACAGAATTAAGACGAGTCTAAAACTATCTTTTGAATTTTGTTAACCCGTGTTTATCTTATTGTGAGCAAAGAGTGATGGGCAAATTAATTGTTAGACAGTTGTAATTTCTAGAAAGTGGCATGTGCAAATTTTATAAGTGTTATTGTGGGTGATAAAATGACACATGGTTTTCACACAGATTTTCCATGAAATTCAGTCTTGTGTATTTTTAAAGTAGGTATGAACCTGCTCTTTCAAATCAGAGGGTTACAATCTTTTCAGACTATTAATCATGAAAATAGTTTGTTAATAATCAATAATTATATCACTGTAGTATTACTTTTGATTTATTTTACTCTATTACTACTGTTAATGCACTCTTTGCTCCTCACCTGACCTAATGCCTAACTACATTGATGTGTGCATGTACATGCATGTGTGATTTAAATGCAGTCAATAAAGGAATAATATGGTTGATAGTGTTTAAAGTAAGGAAGGCCTGTCTCAGTCATTTATTTGTTACAGATAAGAAAATATGTGAACTTTACAAGTTGATAAGTTCATTCAAATAATAATAATGACAAAACATCCCAAATATATAAATGGTTGTGGACATTTGGAGGTTCTCAAACTCAAGCTCCTGCAGTATTGGTTGAATGCAAATTCAATCTAATTATAGTGTATTATATTTTGTATATGATAAATTGTAAAAACATTGTTTTGTGTTAAGAATGTAACTGAATATTAATATATCATAAAATTTACCTTGTTTTATTGTAAGATTTGAAATTTTCTGTAATCTTGTTTTCATTCCTTTCCAGTGGAAGGTTAACTGTACATTATAAATTAACTTAACATTAATTTATTTTATTTTATCCACTTTCCTTTATATGCTGTTTACTTACATGTTTGGAGTGCATTCAATAGCTCATTATTGTATCCAATATGATAAAGCTCCCTGCGGTAAATACAGTGTCTCGTTATTGTATCCAGTGTAATAAGGGGCCCTGCCAAAGCCAATATAATACAATTAATCATGTGGCATACGGTTACAAATATGTCAAAAAGATAAAAAGGTGATCAGATAAAATGAAACTGGGTCTTACATATCTCTAAAAGACCATCATGTGCTTGTTAGTAATTATTCACTTATGCTCATAACAAATCACCTAACTTGCACATAATGGTCTCTTAGCAATTTGTAAGATATATATAAATGTATGCTGTGTTCTTGAAGTACCACCCACATCTTCTTTGACTTTTACTTTATTATTTAGGATTGATAAGCAACAATGATCAATTACTAAATTATGTTATAATGTCTAATAGAAAATGTTATATAATGATAATAATAATGTTGAATATTTTGTATGAAAATAAGTTTATCAATGTTTCCTAAAATGCTAGTTAAAAAGGAAGTTAAAAGCATTTCAAATTAAATTATATTTTTTCCTAAATATATGTAGTTTCCTTTAGTAATTTTTTCAGATCTGTTATTTATCATTTCTATTGATTCAAGATTGAACTCTGTTTGAAAAACCATCACTTTGAGAGTGGTACTTGTGCTTGTTCAGCAGAAGCATAACTATGTTCTCGAGGGCCTCTGTGCAGAAAGCCCAAATGGAGTCCCTTGTTGCCATTGGTGTCTTTATAGGTGAGTCAGCAGGTGTACACACTCGGGGCACTTAACTTTGGGGGCTCTAGTACTGTGCACTGGTTCCATTTGCCTAGCTGTACCCGTGCACAGGTCCCATTTTAAGCAAATATTCTGTATGTTTTAAAATTGCAAATAAAAAATTAACATCACAAAACTAAAACATTGATGAAGGATACCTTTTTCCATAATGAAATCTATGCTGTAAGAGTAGTTCTTGAAATAATGTAAATTAAAATCTCTGAATTTAAAAAAATTACAAATGCAAATGTCGACATGTTTTTAAAGTATCAGTGAGGTTGAGTTCGGTTGTGAGGCTGGTGGTGTAGGGATAATATAAATGGCGTATTAGCTCAAAGAATCAGAGTTCGAATCTCATCATGGAAACACTTGTGCATGTTCATATAATCTTATAATATTATAATATTGGAAAGCAATTACAAATAATATGAGAAAGCATGTGCTGTTGTAACACCGCTAGTTAATGCATTTTTTTTTTAATTAGCCCCAAATCTTTAAATAAGATCGTTTGCAAATATGTGAAACTATGTTTTTTCGCGAAATGTATGTATTTCTAGGGAATTGCAAATACGAATTTCCGGGGTTTCTTTTGCTGAAGAGAGTTTCACAAGATCGCAGGACGCAATGCAACAATGGCAACGCCGCGACGCGGCAGTTTGATATTCAGAGAATTATTTCCCATTTTTGGGGAATAATGTTTCTCGCTGTGTGGAACAGTTTTGGATTGTCGAATTTGTGTTGATGTACTTGTATTAGCTTTAAAAGAATATGTTTTCGCTCAGCATGCGCTTTGATTGGTAATGCATGAAAATTTTTTTGGAGTAGTTTTGGGAAGAAATTTAAAAATGTGGGCTGATAGCGCGATGGCGAAGTGCTTCCTGAATCCAACGCCGTATCAATCGTCCAAATCGACTGAATAGGCAGTAAGGCAATAGGCAAATAAAGTGAAATTTGGCAAAATACAATGCCCCCTCCAATCCGCGCCGACGCGCGTGGGGGCGCCGGCTCCGAGGGGCACGGAAGTATTCCGTAAGAGAGAAGAGAGGCGGGCTGGAAGCGAGGTAGGCAAGCAGACGGTTCTCTTGTGGTCCGACAGACTTGTCTGATAATGCTTTCGCTATTTACCGCATCACAACATTGGTTTTACATTCTTGTATACGTACCTATATACTGAGTAATATATGTAGTGTATAGAAAGTTATGTAATGATGCGGAAAATCGATTTTGGGATTTCAACGAAATGCATGTTTTGGGGCCCTCTGACACCGAAAAAGTTTTTTTCCCAAAACGTCTGTCTGGCCATCTGTGAACAACACTGGGGTCGAAACTCCAAATATTCCTAGACTTTTATCGAAAGTGAATATTCACTAGTCGATCTGGCCAGTCTCAAAGCTTTCCGAGTTCGAAAAATTTTGTTTAAAATTTGGGGAAACTGTAAATGACGCCCCAAGGACAACTTTTATATTTTCTCAAAAATGGCTCCAGTTTTTTTCTTTCTTTTGTTGGAAGAATATATTGAAATGTGTTCTCAAGATGGCATTGGTTCAATGTTTACTGTTGACTTTGATTTTTTTTAAGGTTACAAAAGTTTGAATTTTTCTCGGCGTCTCCTCACAACTACAGTATTGAAGATATAATTTTCCTCTATCATGAAATTTGTTTTCCCTAATTAGTTCTTTCATTGACGTCATGCACATTTCTTTGAAAATTTTAGTCGTTTTTAGGTAAAATTGCGTAAAATATGTGTCACAAAAAATACTAAAAAATAGAATTATTCAAAAACGGCTTCAAATGTTTTCAAACTTACGGTAGGGATGTTTCTCATTATACTGTATAAGATTATACGCCGTATTGCTTTATTCTTTTCTTTTATTTTCAAAACTTACACATTTTTTTACATTTCTCTCACGTCTTTAATATTTACATTACCAGCGACTTGTATACATCATTGCGTTTGTTTAATATCTCATTAATAGAAACTGGAAAAATATGTAGTATGAAAGTCAAAATATTATATAAATATGTAATGAAAACACTAAGAATATATAATTAATATGTAAGATGGGATAAAATGTGAATTATTAAAATACACAATTAAAAAACGAACATTTACATAATACGAAATTACATTTACAAAAAAATACGATATAAATTTTAAAAGTAATACATATGTTTTAAAAATAATTTGAACAGTACAAATTGATCCATGCTTTGTACCATACAACTTTCCCTTCAGTTGTAAAACCTTCGTCTACTGCTATTCAGTACGGTCGTTTAGCAGCCGCACTAGACATAATAGAAATCATCCTACAAGCTGGCGATATCTACAACCAGCAAATTATCACTGCAGCTAGTAATATTCTCAGCGAAGAGTTACACTTCGACAGTCGGCAAAGTTTCTCGGAAATTAAGATTGTTCACGAGTCGTGACGCGCCGTGATGCTGAAGGTGAAACTGATCTCAGTCACTGACGTGCACTTCCCGCCACTGAGATAACTGATGCAGACGAGCAGGACTGTGAGAGCATCCTACTGCGTCTTCATGTAGCGAAACTTTAGTAGGCAGCTCGCAGTAACGATGTAGGAAATACGTGTTTTTTTTTTTAATTCTTCTTTGTATAGAAATGTGTCATAAAATTGTAGAAAATTGATAGAATAAAAAAAATTGTGAAAATAACAAAATATGTAATATAGTTCTAAATATGTAAAAATATGTAACGAAATATGTCGATATTGTGTTAGGACAGCGACGATTCGCCAAAATTAAAATTTTTAAATCGGTAAGTAGAAATACAAAAACTATGTAGTTACATAAAAATCCGGTCTCTACTCATAAAGTTCCTCGAAAAATGAAAAGTATTCTGAGAAATTGAGATCGCAGTTCTGCATTTTCAGATATACTCAAACGTTAGTTTCTTAAAATTTTCAACGAAAATGTACATGTATGACGATATTTTAAATTTCTATAGTATTCTTAATGTCATATATTGGTTCTATCGTTAGGGATACGAAAAATTGAAAAAAAAAAAAAAAAAAAACGTGGAAAAAATTATCTTTAGGTGGGAAGAGGGTGGAGTGAAACCGAAAATATAGTCCAGAGTAAAGAAATAAGGAAACGAACTAGTTCGAGAAAGTCTGCCATTCAGTAGCAGCACTAGTTTATTTTATTTCACAAATCGCACTACTGGTGTTATAATTGGGGCAGACGTTCTCGTATCCTCTATAACCGAAGTGTAGAACAGAATTTATCTTGAAAAATTGTGTGTTGCCTAATAATTCCGATTTTTACGTGGTCATCCTTCGAACAAGTTCCGTAAACTAAGGTGGTAAACTTGGTGGCTAAAGAAATTCAGTAGTAGCGATAGCGGAGATGGAGCGGGAAGTGTTAAGCGAAAAATGGCAGCGAGCAAGCGAGCTAATCAGTATTAGTTAGGGCATTCGCAATGTTGTCTATTTGCTAACCACAGTTCCAGTGCCGCATCGGATTTGGAATTCCCATACCTCCGTAATTTTGTAAAAAACTTGTCCAAGCAATAGTGTTTTGTTGCAAAGTGCTGGAGAGCGATCACCATATTTTCGATTTCTTTTTTGTTTTATGTGATTTCTATTACCGTCAAATGTCTCAATGCAGAACAAATACAAAAACTTAAGTGCCCAATGGAAGTAAAATTCAGAACCACGTTCGCAGAAGATGTAGGGTAACGTGCGGCAAGTATCTATACTTTTTACAAAAACGTGAATTTCCTCTCGTGTAATTGGTGTATTCATGTGGTTTTTACATAGAGCTATGCTTAATGTATGAAAAATAAACTGTCCAAATAAGAATGAAATATCTTTAAATTTGATGTCTAAAAAAGCATTAAAGAAGGAAGTACAGTGTTCGGACTTTTGCCCCGGGTACGGGATAAAAGTCCCAAACAAAAGGGGAAGAAGTCCGAATACACAAGATATCTAACTTTCCTTAGAAATAAATTAATAATGTTTACATGGCTCATATACATTAAATTAATCAAACACCAGTTTTATTAGTAAATAATTAGAAGTGATACGTAGATTCTGAAAGGTCATATTAAAGTCTCCAATTGCAAATTATACTCTGATGAAAATAATAAATCCAAAGCAGATACTGTATACAGTAATTCTCACACAAATCACACAGAAATTTCCCTCCCTCATAGCAAGTGCATTTTTCATGCCACCACTCTTTGCATGAACCACACTGATTCCAGTATTCAGTGGGGCATATCCCTATCGAAGTATTTTCAATGGCAATCGGTTTATTATTCTCTCCCTTTCCTCTCTTATTAGTGGAGTTGCAAAGCGATTCCTCATTACCATTTCTCCATTTTAAGTGTAGTCTTGTGAGGTGACGATGTCAGTATGGTGGATTCTTTCCTCGCCGCGTTCGTTTTCTATTTAATCCTCCTTTTGGGATGCGCTTAATGTCCGATGGAAAGTAATGAATTTCTCTGAAGTTTTACAATTTGTAGAATCGTGTTGCTTGGAGGGGGAGTTGTGTCATCGTGCAGTACAGACGACCATGGTTCCGGTGAGTGATATTTGGTTTGATCACATAACTGGTGTACTGGAGAAATAGGTCTCTAGTGTGTACCCTGTGACGGAAGGAAGTCTTCCTCCCCAAATTTGAATTTGTCTGTTGGTACAATACCATAGATTTCAAAAGCTTTCACAGCCTCTTCAGTCGTACAATTCATGCACGATTTACCATACAGTTCCGCTATCTAGAATTGGGTGATAACTCTTCCTGGATATATTTCGACATGTGCTATAATTCTCTGTAAGTGGGTCAGAAGTCTGCACCAAGATTCTTGCCCCGACATGAATGCGGACTGCTGCCCCTACCGTCAAAATAATATATTTTATTTTGTGATGCTTTCTGTCGGTCATCTTGGAAAGTATTTACTAGTGCGTTGTATATGTCACATTTCACACATCCATACTCTTTATTGCAGCGGTAAAGCTAGAGTCATGCAGTTGGGTATTCTGAAAATCTTTTCGTACACTTTTTTAAAATGATCTTCATTCATGATTTTTAAGGCAAAAAATCCTTCGTACGCTTTCTTCAGAGGCTGCCCCATATTAGATTTACTTGCATGTAAAAGATCCTCACGCCTAAATGACGCCTCTGTGCTGAATTCAAATCGCCTGTTTCGTCGCCTAAGAAATATCTCCTTTCTCTGCTAGTTGATGAAAGGAGTGTAGCGAAATTTGCGTGGTTAGAAGGAAGAGCGGGCCTGATGGCCGGAGTCTCGCCACGTAAAATAAGTCATTAATTCAATTCAATATTTGATGAAACTATTGATGTGACTGTGAAATCGCAACTCACAAGCGTGTTGCGGTTTGTGACAAAGAATGGCATTCAAGAAAGCTTCTTGCATTTGACTGAATGCAGCAAAGACAGATCAGCATCTGGATTACTAGAACACGCGTGAGGCGAAACAAAAATAATAGCGTAAACATATGACGACCCAGAAATTATGGCAGGGGAACATGCTGGATTTCAGGCAAAAAGAAAATCTGTAAAGAAGCAATCTTTGTGCATTGTTATGCCCAATTATATTTAGTCTTAGGACAATCTGCGTGTATTTTTCACCTCTTTGTCAGGATTAGGGACGTTCTTTCCTAAATCTACTTGGCGGATTGAAGCGGGGAAAAGCGATCGTGATCAGCTGCACCAACGCGTTGGAATTTCACCAGCAAACTTGTACTAACTGTGGAAAATCATACCAGTGATCTACAGGAATTATTGTTTCAACAATAGAAAATTCAAATGTCTGTGACGCTGAAACTGTGTGCTCTGGTCATTTTAATCTATTAAAACACTCTGATTTTTTTAACTTTTAGTTTTCCTCATTCTGACTCGTTGTTTAAAATTGTATAAAATAAATCCAATGACATCATGTATTGAATGAAAAAGAAGATTTTGGGAAATATCTGGAACAGTTCCGAGATATTAAATTGTTTTGGAGAAGGTTGCAACAGGGAAAGTGGTTAATGTCAGTGTATCAAGTGAACCAGGGTACAAAATATAGAGAATGAGAAGAACGGGTATGCAAGAGCTTGTTTTAGAAGTTATAGACAACTTAGTATGTCACGTGCCCGATATATTTTCTGATACGTCTTAATTGAAATTCCTAAGTCTTCTTAACCCTGATCTCTATTTACGTTATCAGTCGTCATTCCGTATTGAAGCTTTCAGTTGTCTAATGGACGTAAATGGAAGGACTGCCTCTACACGAGTGAGCTCACTGCCATTTATTTCGATACTGAGTTCCAGAAGAGTGTTAATGAAATAAATGATTATATCAATCAACTAGAACTAGATGTATTTCCCCAAACCTATATGTTGACTGCTGTTTCTCACTGTGTGTTGGCGGAGAGGTCATTCAAAACTATCTTCGGAATTCACAAAGTGATGAAAGACGTTCTAGATTATTCTTGCTGAATATCGAGAGTCAGCTTTTAGCTGGGGCGGATCCAGAGACGAATTTTATGTCATAATATAGATTTTGTGAAACGTAGTAGGCTTCACTCAGCTCATGATGTGATTCTATTTTATTCGTCTTAATGATTATCCGAAAATAGTTTTGCTTGAAAATTTCGTGACAAGTTAAACTTAATAGTAACTGATTTTTTTGTGAGAGAAGGGATTTCCCTTATTTCCCTCCCTGTGGAATCGCGCATTCTTTTAGACATGATAAGGCCATCGATGTAATTAATGTATATGCACGAAAACCAAGAAGAATTGAACTTCACTTTAAAATGTATTTGATTTAAAATAAAAATTAATACATTGTATCATCACTTTGATTTTTCCTTATGAAACCTTCTAATATGACACTATTAAATTCAGAAACATTAAATAAAAATGTATATAAAAGAGGAAAATGCTCCTGCATGATTATTTAAGCCAGGGTATTCTGTTCGTTAAGTTGATTTAATTTGAGTTACACATTATCCTTGGACTTTCTCATCTAATGTAAAGACGTTCTTGAGGGAAACTGTACCATGTAATAAGTAATAGTAAAGAATCTACTCTTTAATGAGAAAATTAGCATCGAGGTTTCCAGATTGTCGTGTTAGCATATTTTGAATCTGACCTGCAGTGTGACGGCAAAGTACCCACCTATTTGTCCAGTACAACACATGAGGAAAAATCTATGTTTATTTGATAAACAATTGTTTACCAAAACAGGTCATTCTAGTTTCCGGATGAAACATTTCTTCTGAATGTCATCTTGTTCTATTCCATTGATAGAAAATTATTTCGTGAGTGTACATCTTGATCGACGAGGAAAAAAATATTCTCGTCTTCGACGAGACTAAAACATTTCCAACTATAGAATGAATGATATCTATTTTCTGATAATAATACTGACAATAAAAGTACTTTTATCCAGAAATGTTCCATTAACAAGGTACTTTTAACTACATAGTTCCTCGAATCACACGTGAACGACGGAGGTTGAATACAGAACAGACCGCTTCCCCTCATACGAAATCCACTCTACGCCGTGAGCATTTGTGTCCTGAAAAAATTTAATTGTTTCAATGTTTGTGTTTTTCCCGTAGAGGGGTGGCACGAGGATTCAATCGTTGGCAGACAATGTGGTAGACAAAACTGCAAAAATATCACAAACGTTCATTAGCTCTGGATAAAAGTTACTGATACTGCTCAATTTGCAATATTTGTTCGTGGTGTAGACAATTTATTGTTAGTGACAGAACTTTTAGACATTATGCTATTAAAATACACCACTACCGGACATGACATATAATCAAGCGTGGAGGAAAGTATGGGTCATACAGGTGTACAGTGAAACAAATTAGTTTCAGAAACAACTGATGGTGCTCCTGCTATGGTTGGAAGTAAGAGTGGATTTGTAGGACGTCTCAGAGATAAACTTAAATGCCTACTTATCCCCCACAAATTCAGTGCAATCCATTGCATCTTCCACCAAGAATGTATCATACAACAAATCGTTCGTACATCAAACAACAAATTTCATACGAAGAGACGGATTAAAACAGCCAGTTTAATATTTTTTAGAATATTTGATGCAAACTACACTGATTTACCTTATCATAGCGAAGTGCGGTGGCATAGTCGCGGGAAACATTCATATAATTTTTTCTCTTACTAAAGAGATTGACCTCTTAATGGAAATTATGGGTTATCCCGTTCTAGAGCAGTGGTTATCTGATTCAGCGATTGTCTATGATATTACTGATCATCTTAATGTTCTAAATAGTTCCCTTGAAGGAATGGGAAAGATTATCACAAGTAATACCACGAGTAATATGGAAATTGTCCATAAATCCTCGATTCACGAAGCGACGAGAGGATTTATCTGAGAATTTCCAAAGCACGAGTGATATTTAATAGGACTGTGATTGTAATTTCATTGCATGTATGCAATTATGTTCAACAGGGTTTCAAAATGCTCCAAATATTGAAAATAAGTTAAAATCGACATAGCGATCGATGTATATCGCCTCCTAAGATAGATGAGTCACGGTTTATAATTGACCATGAAAGGAGAAGCGGTAACATGAATCGGATACAACTTTTTGAGATACCCCGCCCTGATTGGTACATTTACAGTTATGTACAGTTATGTACATTTACAGTATGTACAGTTAAACACAATTGGTTTTAGTTTCACGAGTGCAATAGTCACAGAAAAGTTTGACATGGTAAAAGCTTTCAAAATGAAATTGTCCTTATGGATGTGTCAACTTGGCAGTATGAATGCTTGTCATTTTACACGGCTGATGTCAACTGAAATCATAATCAACTATGATCGTTTCATTGTTACTTTAAAATTTCTTTCTGAAGAAATGGAATCTCTTTTTCAAGATCTGCCAATTCTGGAGATGGGATTTTGAATCTTTGCGACTCCATTTTCAGTAGACAGACTCAGTACCTACAGAGTTACAATTAGAATTAATTCACCTCAGATGTGATAATCAACTAAAAGAACGATTCTATTGTGTAACAAATTTATTCGTTTTTTTTATAGAAATTCTTGAAGAAAAGCTTTTCACGCTTGTTTAAATCTGCTGCAAATAGCATATCTAAGTTTGGATCCACTTACGTTTGCGAACAACTCTTTTTCTTCTGCTAGGAAAGAAAAGTCAAACAACATTAATAGTCTAACTGATCATAATTTAACTGATCGTAATGTACTCTTTTTTTGCCACTAGTCAAACTATTATTCCAAACATAGATGAACTGGTGAAGGAAATGTGCCATAAATAAAATATTAGTATCTCTAATCCCATACATGACAAATCTCTTCATGCGTTTACTATATATACAGGATGATTCAGTCCTCGTTGCTAATTCGCCGGGATCTTACCCCATATGTAATGTGCAGACTGAATTTGGCAAAATTGGATACTCTACGTCGTTTAGTTTTGTAAATAATTAACGTGAAACTTTGAACTATGCGCTTGTTCTCGTGTAACGTGAGCTACGGAAAGTAGGTGAGCGCTTTCCCCTCGGGCAAGGGCTCGCCACTTCACTGGAAAACTCAATTGCTAATGCTATCTTAGAAGCAAATAGTGCGCGATTTCGACCCACCATAGCTTCTCGTCCGGCGAACAATTCGTGCAGAGAGATTACGACTTTTCCTATTCCAGCGGGTGCAGCATTTGCGCAGTAGAGACTTATAACGAAGCGTTTTACAACTAGCTTACGAACACCTGCATAATATATACTAATGTAGACTTGTGACAACACTACGCATTTTCTCATAAAATTATTGTTCTAAAAGTGAAAAATCGTTGACCTTCAATATCTCTAATCGCACCAGTACCGTTTCAAAATTCACACATCCTCATTTAGAGGTCGAAACAAAGATATAAAAAAATTAAGATTAATAGGATTATTTTCGAGTCGTGATTTTCTTAATCTAATTTGCATGAACTACGCATTTCTCGGCCATGTTGCACATTAAATTGCAATTGTGACCATTTTATTGAGAAGACAAATGAAAAAGGGCAAAAAAGTGTACCGTCTCGGCAGGTTGTGAAGCCAGAAAATAAGTTTAATACGTTTCGTTACGCTTTTATGACCCATTGCGTCAATTGTTTTTGTTGGTGACATTGTTGGCAAATATCATCATCGACTCCTCTCTTTCCTTATGCGCAGTGTTTGGCGTTTGTTTTCTGCGTGCGTTGAGAGCTACAACCAGGCACCGCGTGCGGTGTCGTCAACGTTGCGCATCCAACGGTGAAGGATGAAGGTGAAGGAAGCTCGAGGACGAAGTTGCAAGCTTCAACGTCCAACATCGTGTCGAGGAGCACCGGAGGCTCCTGAAGGTCATGCATCAGCAGCATCGGCGATTCGTCCACAGAGAACGCTGCCACGCGAGCCACCGCGAAAATGGCCTTGAATGGCCGTGCTGTGATGCTGTTGCCACTAGAAGCTGCAACAAACACCCATATGTCAGTACACTCATAGGGTCACTTCACCAATATGCACTCTACCACTCCATCGAGAGAGATAGGGATATCAAGAACTGCACCACAAATCCTTGGGTAACTTCATAATATTTTGATAAAATTAATGTAGGCCTGAGTTAAACTGACCTTTATGATGCATACACGGCTTTTAATGGGCTTCAAAACATTGCATCTATGTATCCCAAAATCATTTGACACCATTTCTTTGCATAGCAACAATTCAAACTTACTTTAGCTTTAAAATGCATCAACATCTCTTTTAGTAAAGAACAATTTTCTAAAAAGTAAATAAATTTACAATAAATATCTTAGAACAAAGTATTTCCCGATATACTATGGTTGTGTTTTCTTTCCTGTTATATTTGTACTGAGGGAATTGTGTTTTATACAAAAACATTTTTTGACATTTTCTCGGCTTTTTGGTCCTCCTAATAGTTTAATTGAAATAGGCTTGAGGATATCGTAGAAAAGCAAAACTTCTTTTCTTTTGGAAATTCATGTGAAGCTTTTTGGAACTATTTGTAAGATCCCCCCTCATTTCTTTACAGTCAAATCAATATCTTGATTATTAACAACTATTACAGGTATTGTACAACATTATTGTTCAATTATAGAAATTATAATATTTTTCAAAAGCAATATTACAAATAACGTAACAACATATTTTACCTAATATTAATTAAATATTTTGAGAAGGGTCAGTTCACAGTGGGATTAAATATATAAATCGATGGCTTCACAAAAATTGATTATATTAACTTGATGTTTTGAAGAATGTAGAATGGCATCATGTTTGAATAAAAACAACATTCTTTGATGGTTGTATCTGGGTAACTTCAAGTATGTGATTGGGGTCAAGTTTGGTATTGCATTGTTCACTTGTCAGAGGAGATGGTTTTTGTAATGGATAAAATTACTTAATTTGGAATGCCCACATCCTCTTCTGGATAGAACTTCTTGCTCTCTGTGGTAAATTTTCTTACTGATATTTAATGAATAAAAGATTTATGTTCTACTCGGTAAATCTATGAAGTATATCAATTTGGTAATGGATTAGTGCTAGACCTAAATTTAACCTTGCCTAATAAATTTGAAAATATTTCTCCATAACTGTATTTATTTCAGTTTCAGCTCTTTTGTTGCATCAATCATGGATGATAGAAAACTTGAAAGAAGAATGACATTTGGATAATGAAGATAGAAGGTGAATTTGGGGGTTGACATTAAGGTACTGTGTATGATTTTATACTGTTATAGCTGGTATATTCCATAAGCAGGTCCATGTTCTTAATGTTTTTTCTGGCATGCACAATAAAGAGCGTGCTCTGTCATCATTAATTCTGATGAGTATCAAATCAATGTAGTAGTTGGCCTAGTTCATGTCCATACATAATATCAGAAAATTCGGCAAGCCATTCTCCAGTTGACAGAGTTTTTGCATGATTAGTTGATGTTAAGTCAATTTTGAAGTTTGATGTAACCCATAGTTGATCTGACGAGATTCTGTGTTTTCCAGTATGATTGTATTTGATATTTGATCTTTTAAGTACATTTTTGACTCAGAAAAACAATGTTTTATAGTGCGAAGGATCTTTGTACACAACTCGTGATTAGGTGAATGACATTATTAAAAGTAATTGAATTCAGACCAATGTTCTTTTTGTCGAAACAATTATAATTTGTTTCTCTTGAGAAGGAAGCTGTGTAAAATCCAGTTTGACCAAATAGTGAGAAGGTTAGTTCTTGATCTGTCTGGCTCCACGACTGCCAACTGACTGACCACGGCAGCCCCCGCCACTTCAGGAGGCTGCCTGTTTGGCCTTTCAATTTAATGGATTTTTTAATGATGTGGGAGGCCCCTTAAATTTTATTTCAAGACATGCGGCCATTCAACACAAACAACCGAGCATTGGTTATTTATTGAAACCGATTTGAATAGATTACACATTAATGAACAATTTTAAGTTAGGATAGTAAATTGCTTTCTCCTAAAAGTTTTCAACAAGTGTTTTTAAACAGGTTTGTTGCAAAGATTAAGTTTGTTACCATTTCCTAAGCAGAATGTTAATTTTTATTGTAAGTGTATGTAACTAATATTCCATATAACTATTTTCTAAAGAAATTTAAAGTTTTTGGAAACATTTTTTATAATGTACAATAAACAAAATTTCTACCAATAAACTTAAAGTTTTAGAATGTTTTAAATTTATTTTTTCTGAATGCTTGAAACTTTGTTCTAAGTTAGATCTTAACTGACTTGCTGTATAATTTAGCTGTATAATTGCTGTATAATTAATATTAATTAGAACCACTTGAACAGAAATTTTGTCAGGTAATGTATAGGTATAGGATAAGATATTGTAACATAGGAAGGTTGGGAATGATGAAGTAATGAGAGTTTTACATGTAAAGATTTTGCTGTACAAACACTTATCTACAACATGTTCAGATGTTTTGAAGTTATATTGATTCATTGCTAAGGGTAAAGGAACTATATAATCTATATAATTATCCATTACTTCAGCCTCCTGTGCTTTGAAACACTCTCTACATACAAATACAGAGGAAGTATTTATCAAAACAAATCAATGGCAAATTAATTTCCCCCCTTTTATTTTACATTTGGCAAAAGAAAAATAGTTAAAATTAATTACAACACTTTTATTTTCGTGACATTTTTGGACTCAATGCTATGAAACAGATGTAGACTTTCAGGTTTCAACGAGATTCACCGTTGTTTTTCTGAACATTATAGGCAGCAACAACATTGCCGAAAGCACAAAAAACATTATGATGATGAAATAATTGAAGTCATCTCCATCAACTTAATGTTTATATAGTTATATATAGATAGCTGCCTTTCAATGGCTTTGCTGTTATCATCAGTCTACAAATATAAATAAAATACAAACAGAATAAGTTCTTCTGTTTGTATTTTATTTATATCTTCTTGGTGTCTTGTTGGTGTCTTCTTGGAAATGTTTCAGGTGGTGGGGAGGGGCTCAGCTTGTGTGTGTGTGTGTGTAAAATTATTAGCAGGAGCAACACATGGAAATTGGTTTATTCATTGAATTGAATTGAATTAATGCCTTATTTTACGTGGTGAGACTCAGGCCATTAGGCCTGCTCTTCCGTCTGACCACGCAAATTTCTCTACGCTCCTTTCACCAACTAGCAGAGAAAGGAGGTATTTCTTGGGCGAGAAACAGGCGATTTGAATTTAGCTCAGAGGTGTCATTTAAGCTAGAGGATCTTTTACATGCAAGTAAATCTACTAACATGGGGCAGCCGGTTTTACGTCCCCTCTGAGGGAAGGCGTACGAAGGATTTTTCGCCCAAGAAGATTTTTCGTAAGAAGGATTTTTCGATTCATTGAGAAGAGCATCAGATTTCTGCTTGGATTAAACAATGTGAACGATTTCTAAAGCGCTTGTGTTCCAAAATTTATGTTCTATTTCAAGAATGTTAATGTCTGAGTCAGGGTGGAAAGTGTGGCTTGTGTGTATAAAATGTAGCAAAATGTGATCTGTTTGTATTGTGTTTCCATGCATGTAAATGTTCTGTAACTCTGGCATTGAAGCTTCTGCCCCTTCTGGCTTATGTAATTAGTTTTGTAATTGTGGCAGTGGAGTTCATAAATTTCAGATTTTGCCATGAATGGGGTGGGGTTGTGAGGGGAGAGTAGGTGTTTGATGGATTCGTGTATGGTAAAGGAAATGTGAAAATTGTATTTGTGACAAATCTGAGCTACTTTTTGTGATATTTTTCCAAAGAACAGAATATAAATAAATTTTGATGGTTTCTGGGTAAGTGGAGTGAGGCTTGTGTACATTCTTAGTTTTTTCTTATTTAATTTGTGGCATAGTAAGTTGTCAACGAGAGTCCTACTGTATCCATTGGCGATAACTATATATTTGATAGTTTGAAAATTGTCTTGTGATAATGCAAGGCTGACAAATCTGTGACTCATGACATGAATAGCCGCATGTTTTTGAGCAGAGGGATGTGGAGATGTTTTGTGGGTGACAGTGTGTGTATGGGGGTTTTCTAAAAACATGATCCTGCAGTGAAATTCTTGGCATTATCAATAAGCCTTGTGCTCTGTAGTTAGTTGCATCTTGTACTATGAGTGATCATTCATCTGTGGCTTTGGATGGAAGATCAGAGCTCCACAAGTGTGCCAACCGGTTATTGAATTTGTTAACTCTGTCCAAAATAAATTATTTTAGAAGGCAATGAATGCTCAGTGTTGAAACAATGTCATGGCATAATTATTACAATTAATTACTTATTACAAAATTCTTAAATTGTATTGTATCATTTGCTGAGGGATACAATACATTAAAGTACAAAATCCATATTCAAATACATCATTTGGCCGTCTCTTACATCAAATACGAAGAGGTACAGCCCCTACCAATTTTTAAAAAATATGAGTTATTCAAAATACATTCCTGCCATGGACATTAAAAGCTTCTTGGTTCATTTGTCATCATCAGATTCATCAAGAACTCTCTATTGTTTCATTTCATATCATTTATTTGAATAAATAAATAATTTTCAAATGTATATACCAATCTACCTTCTTGTCCTGCAACTAAAACATTTTCTTGTGGAAAAACAGTTTACCCACATCAAAGAATTAAAGCTCATTATACGAAAGATTTATTATATCCTTCGTGAACTATTAATTTTTTCAAATTGTAAACAAAATATTGAAATTGTGAAATATTGTATATTAATTCAAATTGTAAAAAGTATATTAAAAAATAGATAAATTATAGTATGTAATTAAGTTAGGGGTCCCTAAATGGATTAACATGGTATTTAATATATTCATGTGTCTTTTTAAACATAAAAAAGATGTAATTTCCTTATGTAATAATATTGTATGGAAAAATTGTGTATAAATGCAAAACCTTGAAAGACTGAATAGGTTGAACCAGGCTTAATAAAACGAAGA